CCACACAACCCTTCCCCGCCGCTCGAGAGCACCAGCCTCACCACCCCACACTCACCCCCAAACCCCCAGAACTTCCTAGGCCTTGGTTAGTAAGGAAAGAACAGAACAAAATGAAAGACTGGAAAAGGAAAAGAAACAACCGACATTCCGTGGATGGCACAAAGGTTAGTTCTGGTTTCTCCGGCTGAGAAGTCGAATCTCCCCCCACCCCGCTCTGTCCCGCCACCCCAGAAGCGTGTTAGTAACACACAACAACGAAAGTTGCCAAGGCAATCTCTAACAAGGTGGTTTGGGGGGTGGGAGGGTGAGGGTGAGGGGGAGTGGAAGGATGGAGGAACACAGCACGGCCCATGTTAGCAGTATTAGTAGTTCCTAGGCGGCCAGTTTGGAGAGGGGAGAAGGGGCAGGAGGGGAAGAAGAGGGCGGTGGGCCCAGCTGGGCGTGACCCACTCATGATGGCCTGTGTGTCTGTGGTGTGGTGGTGATGGGGGCGTCCGGGGGGGGCCTAAGGGTCCAAGTGCTTCTTAGGAAAGAGAGCAGCCAGAGATGCCATGGGGATGACAGAATGCCCTTCCCCAGGCATAAACCAAGGCTGAGTCGATGCTTTCTTTGCAAAAAAAGGAGACAAGAAATCCATCAAGAGGATTAGCAGACAGATAGAGAGAAAGACAGAGAGAGCAGGAGCTGTCAAAGAATGAGGGAGGGGTCCCTGTTCTGTGAATCCAAAGACAGCAAAGGGGGCAGATTCAATGCCCTCCCGTAGCCCCTGTGCTCTGGCTTATTGCTCCAAAGCCAGGAACCCCATGGACAACCTTCGTCAGTTCTCTCTCGACCAGCTGGGAAGCAGGCATGCCCTCACAGGCAGCCTACAGAGCAGTGGAAAGGCCCCTACCCCTATTCAGAAGCTCTCTTCTTCTCCCCCCTGCTCAGACAGGACACCCCCGGCTTTCAGGTTGCTTTAACAGCTCCACCAAAGAAAAGCCCCCTCCCCTCCCACCCCATTAGGTCTCCACTGCCACCACCATCCAGTCTCTCCCACATCTTGCTTTCCACAGCCTGGCTTGAGCTGGAGTTCACTCTGTTTTCCAGGACCACCACTCTGGAACATGTGAAATGATTGTGTTTCTGAGCCCACTACAGGGTGTCCTTCACTCACCACTGAGTGGCCATAATACATGTTGAAATGAGGTGGGTGTTTTTGTGTGTGTTTGCAACTTGGACATTTGCATGAGTATTGCATTCACTGCTCCCCCAGTTTCAGAAATCAAAGTAGTCCGCTTGTACTCACATCCAGACACACCGTGTCCCCGTCCACCGTTTCTCCACATTCATCCAAATCCCAACATTTCTTTTTTAGCTGCTACCTTGTCCCCGCCTCTTCCCACCCTTCTCCAGGCTGAAGGGTGGATAACAAGAGGCAGGAACAGGACCCCTTATAACTTGTTGCCCCTTAGGATTCACAGAACAAGACTCCGCTTTCTCCTTCCCGCACCAGTCTTCCAGCCCAAACAGAACCCTCCATATTCAACATACTGTCCAGTCATGGGAAACACCCAAAATCCAGCCAGCAAAGCAACACCCTGTAAATAGAACAATGCCAAGATGGGGAATGGGAACACCACCCTATGGTCCAGACACCAAGCAGAGGAGGGGGCGGGGGAGAAGAATATTCATTTTTGCCCTTTCATAAATCAGCTCTGCAGCGCAAGCAAACAGGGCTCAACTAGACTGACTTGTTCTCCCCTTAAGGTACTGCACAGCCACCAACTTGTTATAACAGGGCTGGGGATCTTCAGGCCCAAGGGTCAAATGTGGCCCTCCAAGTCTCATAATCTGGACCTCAAGATTCTCTCCAGGCCACACCCCTCATTGCCCTAGCTCACCTTCCCTGAGTGCTTTTGCCTGGTTGAAATATTTCCTTTGATATTGCCTCTTGCTTGACTGGGTGGAGGAAAGGAGGGAATAAAGGAGGGCTCTGACTTTTTCATGGCTGGAACATGGCCTAATGTACAAAGGTAAAGGTCACCATCTCTTGCTCTACCCTTTTTTGCTTCTGGGGGCCACATGCCAGTGGTGGGCATGGTGCAGTCCTTGGCCTGAAACTGGTTCCCCGTCCATGCATTAGAGTGTTTTAAATCAAGAACATGTTGTCACCTACCAGCTATGGCTCCATGCAAAGGAACCCATTGCTGGCAGGAGAGAGCTGAATGGGAGGTGTGGTTTTGATCCACTCAAGACAGCTCATAACAGAGGCACAGGGCAAGGCTTTCCTCATATCCCTTTGGGGTCAACTATGCCACAGCAGCAGGCACCACATTGCTCCAGAGGTGAAAAAGGTAGTGAGTTGCCGGACTGAGTGTAGGTCGTAGCCGTGGCAATGGAGGGAAGGCACCAAATTTTCCCCTTCACCCGCCAGAAGATCCTTGCTGCAAAGGAAGGTGGCCAGAAGGGGGAACAGCTGTGCAGAGAGGGGGCAAGATGAAAGAAGAGGAGTGGTTTGGGGAAGGATAACCTCCTAAAAATGAGAGGTGTCTTTGGTACTCCAGCTCTGGTATGTGTAGAGGAACAAGAATGGCTTTTGAACCAAAACAGTGTGCTCAGCCTCATACAGAACTGGGTGAGGGGGCTATTTGGTCCATTTGGTCCTTTAGGAAGGGCCCAGTTCAGCCCATCTCCCCTGGCTCCAAGATACTCACTCAGCTTCATCCTAAGCCTTGCCCCTGCAGAGCTGAAGGGCACTACCCTCTGCCATCAGCCAAGGGGCTGGTCTCCCCACCTTCCCAGAAGAACATCATGGAACGGAGGAGGCCAAGTTAGCCCCAGAGAGCAGCCAGAGAAGCTCTGTAAACTAAGAAACAGTGCCTAAATTTGCTCCCCACCCTTCCAGACCCCTTTCCTTCCATGTTGATATCTTTTAAATTGTAAGCCTGATGGGAGGAGTTGTCTTTATTATTATTATTAATCTGTGAAGCACCCTTGTGAGCCCCTCCTCTGCACAATTCCCACTTCCTCCCCAAAAGACAGGATAACTCAATCTCTTGCGGAAAGGAGGGATTAGACTCCAGACCCGTCCTCTTGGTGGTGTCTGGCTTATGGTGTCTTGGCTAGAACAACCCAAAGTGCTGTTCTCACCCCAGAGAGTGTGCTGCATCTTAGAGCCCAGGGCCTCTATCCCACGCACACACCTGCCCACCTCCCTCAGCATGAAGCCACACAGGTAGCAGCAGCAGCAGCAGCTCACCTGGCGCAGGTTCCTGGTTACGCGGATGTCGTGCCAATTGTTGTCGTTGAACTTGCCATTGACGGGCTCCACCAGTGCCTCGAACGCCCCCGAGCCCAGGTTGATGACCAGCCAGACAGCGCCGCTCTTGAGCGACAGGTTGACGTAGTCCGCCGACTTGCCAGTGTGGAGCATCAGGCCGTTGCGCTGCAGGGTGCGGAAGGAGAGGGTGATCTCGTCGGTGCTGCTCTGGATGGGGTTGTGGGACAGGTCGTAGCAGAAGAACTCGTTCCCCTTGAACGTCGCCACAAACTCTTCTTTCCCTGCAGGGGAGGAGGAGGAGAGACCGAGAGAGAGGGTGCCAGGGGCAGAGAGTGAGTGGCACTGTGCACACGATGGATGCAAGAACAGCCTCCTGCAGCTCACCCTCAGGGCTTCCTGCTATAGCAACAGCTCCTCTCCTTGCACATGCAACCCTTTCAGTGCACTGCACAGAATGCAACAGTGAAACCGCTGGGCCACTGGCATTAGGAGACTGATGGACAGCGGGAGGCCTGTGCAGACGATGCTTGCAGATTAAAAAACCCGGCAGATGCTGTGGCATTTCCTGTATACTTCAAGCCTGAGCCTGATTTATTCTTAAAATTCAGTTGGAAAAACTGATGGTTAGCAGCAAACCCAAACGCTTTTAAGATCATGCAAGTTACTCCTGGTGCATTTACATCCCATCTTTCCTCCAATGAGCCGAAAGTGGCATATACATGGTTCTTTCCTTGCCCCCATTTTATTCGCAGAACAACCATGAGAGGTAGGCTGGGCTGAGGGAATGAGTGACTGGGCCAAGGTCACCCAATGAGCTTTGTGGATGAGTGAGGACTTACACTCTGGTCCTACTCCTATTTGCCATTACTGAAAACCATTACACCACGTGTGTGTGTGTGTGTGTGTGTGTGTGTGTGTGTGTGTGGTTTTAATAAAATAAAGTCGTAGGAGAGCCCCACCACCACCTTTTGTGCTGAGACCACAGCAAGGGCATTGGAATAACTTCCCTCTCCCCCCTGCAGCACCCTCTTCTCCCCCCTCCCCAAACACTTACTCAGTTCCGACTGGGGCGTGCGCATGAGAAAGCTGCGATTTCACTGCCTTCCAACTGAAATTAGTAACACCCCCCACTTCATGCTTTCTCACCCCCACCCCATATGCACAGAGTAAATGTCCCTCTTCTCCCCATGACACCTGCCAATTAACTTGCCATCCTTTGGCGCCTGGGAAACAATTTCTGCTGTCTTTCCCGCTCCCTTCAGCCCCACAATCATTGTGTCACTGAAAGTCATTTGCTCCTGAAGCCCGGTGGGTTTATTTAAGAAGGAAGAAGGGAAAGAGAAAATGGAGGGGTGGAGGGGGGGTGGAGAGAGAGACAGGAGATGGGTGTGTGTCAGGGTTTCTCTTTTTTTATCTTATCCCTCAAATTGTTACTGCATTAAAGACGGCCCAAGCTGCGAGCCTCCAGCACTTGAGGGCTGTGGCTGAAACAAGGAAGGACAGCTGAGCCCTTGGTGGGTTGGACATGAAGAGAAAGAAATAAAAAGAGAGAATGAGAGAGAGAATGGGTACATATATGAGTGTACAAACACCAATGTGGGGTCCAAGGCACTGCTTTGCCACCTTTACTGAGTACATGGATCTCAGTAGCAATATTTCGAACCGGGGGATTAATACTCCAAATAAGGAAATACACCCATGTAACTAGTATCTACCATTTTGTGTTACTCTAAGAGAAGCCAGATAGCTCAGTCAGTAGAGGATGAGACTCTTAATCTCAGAATCGAGGGTTCGAGCCCCATGTGGGGCAAAGAAGTCCTGCATTGCAGGGGGTTGATAACCCTCAGGACCCCTTCCAACTCTACAATTCTATGATTCTATGGTGACTGAGGAGTCACAAAGCCTTGGTTGACATGCACTTTGGGGGCACATTCATATCCCCCTCCCCTGCAGCGAAGTTTCAAGCCAGTGTGGTTCACATCAGCGAGGGGGCAGGGATGTCTCCACCCAACATGCATGGCCTTTTTAGTTGCCCTGCTAGTGCAAACACACACAAACACCAAACTCCTAGTCATGAAGCTGTTATCTGCACATGCACGCTCTTCTGCGCATGTGTGACAGCTGGCTTGAATGCTCACACCATACTTGAGTATGAAATGAATGTGGCTTGATTTATCTAGTCAGATGGAAGCTGGTTTGAGAAAAATGCATCAATATGTAGTATTTGTCAAGAAATGACAGGATCAAAATGGATTGTGGCTCAGATGGTGTGAATGTAGGTTCAAAAACTAGCAGTGGGAGGGCACAGGTGGTGATGTGAATGGATCCTGGGAAACCTGCCTTCCAGGCTTGCTTCCAGTGTTGCGATTTTGCATGAGGGATTCAATTGCTTGCCAGCAAATTTCGGTATGTGTGATTACAGCACATCAAAAGTGCTCTGGAACAACAAATCCACTTTTTAAAAAAGGAAAAAGTGCCTTTTTACAGTAAGGGAAGAGACAGGAAAATGCTCTAGAAGCACAGGGTAACGATTGATGTTGACACTGAGTTGCATAACCTCCACACAAACAAATCAGGACAGGTCCTCGATAAGCAGGTCTCCTAGAAGCACCCCAGGTCTTCGGTTTCTCTTTTGTCTGTATGCCAGATCTAACCTGCAAAGGGACAATGTCTTCCCACTCATTGCTGAAACTCTCCTGGGTACCTTTCACTCTTAAGTAATTGCATTTCCTTTACATTCAACTTCACAGCTCCTCATTTCATCCCCCTCCCTGTAACAAACACACACACACACACACACACACACACACACACACAAAAACCTCCAACATGTCAAAATAGCAGGAGCCTTCTGTGTCAACTTTTAAATGCCTGCTGAGAACTTTTCTATTCCACCAGGCACGTCTACTGGCGTTAGTTTTAAATTTTTCTATTGTTGTAAATATATTTCTATGATACTTTAGTAGACAAAGACATATAGACATACATACATACATACATACGTTGTACTATACTTCAAGGCTGTCATACACTACTCTCCCTCCCTGTAGCAAAATGTGTATAACAACCCTGCAGGCTGGTGTAACCCATTCTCTCTAAGCCACGGTCTTCCCCCAGAAGTATAATAGTGATTGGCTTTATCTGTATTATTGGCATTAGCAAAGTAATTTTTAGAACGCTTACAAAAGATCCAAGTTAGGAAGGTCATTAGCTCCTGCTTTTGCTTTTCAACTGACACATGACTCTCCAATCACAGCTACACAGAAATGGTGGACACCTGCATTTTTCCTTCTGTGGGGCAACAGCAATTAGCCATCACTTTTCCACCAGGAAAGAGCAGTAGAAAATGGCTTCTAAAGAAACCAACACTACCTAAGAGATCTCTAGATAATGGGTATTTCACTCTAGCCTTCTCATTCTCTCACTGTAGCCTTCCTCCAGCAGCCTGCTCACTCACCTGGAGGAATTCCTGCTCAGCAAGCAAGTGCTTAAATACAAAGCTGGGATGCATAGTGCCAAAATTCTGTGGGAGGCCCTACTTGTCAAGAGGAGAGAGAGATAGAGAGAGATGGCCTCACAGTCAAAGCGCCATCTTTTCCTTGAGTTCTGCCTTCTGGACTCAGATGGAATCTCTGCTCCATCCCTTTGCACTAGCAGAGTTTGAAGAGGTGCTGCTATGCCAGAAATCTGCCAGCTGGCATTGCACCCAGGTAGGGCCAGTGTGCTATAATGGCCACATTGGCATGACGTCAAAGGCCAAATAGGGTAGAGCTGGGGTGTGCCAGGGGAGGAACAGGATCTTTATTGACACTCTACGCTCATTTGGGTTGGTCCTGCCCCCAGATGGTGGCACAATATTAGGTCTGCAATAAGAAGAAGGAGAAGAAGAAGAAGAAGAAGAAGAAGAAGAAGAAGAAGAAGAAGAAGAAGAATGCAATAAGAGCAGTGTTGGGTTAAAGACTCTAGCTGAAATCAGCAAAGATTCCCAAATGACAAGCCTCTTCACCCTCTCTGCCTCCACAGTCATCCTGGGGAGGAGAATTCTGTCAAAAGCCCTGTACGGACAAACACCCTCACCTAAAGTTGCCACACGTTGGGAATTTCCCAGGGAAATCAGCAAAATGTCCGGGGAAACCCAGGGAGCCTGCACTGAATTTTACTCCTGTCTGAGTGAGGTGCACAAATTCCAGGTGGCCAGGTATAAATATAATAATAATAATAATAATATTATTATTATTAATAATAATAATAATAATAATAATAATAATGTAGAGATGCAAAAAACCAGAGCAAGTTGCTTTGGGGGATTTGAGGCTGGGGCAAGCCAGTGGTCTTATTTTTGCTAATAAGAGTGCGCAGGGATGCCAGACAAAAAACAGGGGCTGGGAGGGCAGGCAGCTGAGCTTAGCTTGATGCTTTTGCTATTCAGTCCCTCACAGTGCAGCCAAGCAGTCTGCAAGGTTGGAATTGGAAAGTGTTTGCTTAGCCTGACCTCTGACTAGGAAGACTTGCAGATCAGAATAAAAGAAAGAAGCTAGGAATCTCTGGATGGGGCTCCTAGCTCAGGCTAGCAGCTCAACACTTCAAAGGAACAGAGCAAGCATTCTGAAAGGGTAATTTGCTCTTTGTAAGATCATTGAGCAGCAGCTTGTCATTAAGCTGCATTACAGCTGGTGGAAAAACTTTTCATAAGCAAATGTTCAATGAGTTTTACAACCTGATGATCTTATGCACACTCATTCAGAAGTCAGTCCCATCGAATTGAGCAAGGTTTACTCCCATGTAAATGCATACACAGGACTGCAATATTAGAAGAGGTGATGAAGAATCAGTATTCAAGTTTGTAAAATAGATGGAAGTCAGAAACCATTTTAATTAGATCACAGATTCCCACCCCATTTCACATCTTAATAGAGACTATTACTCATTCCAAAAAATGTAAATGAAGGATCTTATACACCAAAAATCTAGTTTCTCATCATGCATCCAAAATATTAATTAAAAAACCCCATAATATAGCTTTACCAAAATTTATGGACAGAGAGGTTCAATAGAAAACACTGAGAAGTAGGCTGTAGCTTATGGAATCTATGCCACAAAAGCACTGCCATGGGAAGTTGACACAGGAATTCTCAGGTGGGTGGGGGGACTCTGTAATATCTTCTTCAATTTTGTAAGAAACATTTTTGGACAAGGAGGTAAAATATAGGACAGGTTAGCCCCTGCCCCCCATCAGCTTTCCCCACATTTTGAATACTGAACTAGAATAACAGAATCGTAGAATCATAGAATTTAAAGGGATTCCAAGGGTCATCTAGTCCAATCCCCTGCAATGCAGGAAAATGTAAGAAAACTAGAAAATTGTTTAAGAGATCAGCCTTAAAAATGTTAAGGGAGGAAATGGACAACAGCCATGAGATGAATCACCAATTAAAACTTTAAAAAAACAACAACCAATGTGTTCTTTTAACTAGATAAAACCTGATTTATTGATACACAAACTTCATCTGCATCATTACTGCTGTTTTTCAGTCTGGTGAAACAGAAATCCGTTTTTAAAATTCAAATAATACTCTTGCAGCAGAATCATGGTGGTGTTGGATTTCACAGATTAGTTTCCAAATCGAATCAAGTTTATAATGCTTAGCCAAAGGGCTTGGACAGGCATTCAGCAGTACCATAAAAATCAAGTGGAACGTATTCCCTGGAATTCTTAAAACATCACCTATAGCTGACTAATAGAAAAGAAAAGTTGGCTACCAAGGTCTGCCACAGTTTGTGGGCTTCTGCACATCCACAGACCAAAGCACATGAACAAAAAGCAGCCTTGAACTTCCTGAGTTAGCACATTCTTTTCTTTTAAATGTCTTTCTTTTCTTAATACCTTTAACACGGCAACATTTATCTATTACTACCCAGAATCATGCTTCTACATTAGTGTTATTGCAGCAACAGTAAAATACAACAAAGTTTTGCAGATTGTTAACTGCTACCTGTAAAATTCTGCAGGGACTCAGGAAAACGCAGAGAAGTGGTCGCTGCAGAGGATGGTTTTATCACAACAACTTTAGTATGAAAGAAGTACTCAAGCGGAGGGCTGCCAGACCCTTTCAAGGCTGCCAGAGCACGTCCGGCTTGTGCGGAGCTTTGAGAGAGGGAGAGAGAGGTATCGCTTGAGCCGCAAATAAAACCTGGGTCAGAACTGCTGCAGGTTCTAGCACAGCCTTCGCCAACCTGATGCTCTCCATATGTTCTGCACTACAATTCCCATCAGTGCTGGCTGGAGTTGTAGCCTAAGACATCTTGAGGGCAACAGGTTGATGAATGAAGGCTGTTCTACTAAGTATGCTAAATACATACTCAGAAAATGAGTGCTGTTCTCAGTATTGCATGACAAACTGCAGAACAGCAAAATTTAGCAATGAACTCCGTATCACATAATTTGCCCCTACTTGACCCGTTTAATCCCTGTAAGAAAGTCAAAATGAATTTAGCTTTATGTATGATGCATAAATTAGAAATACAGTGGTACCTCTAGTTGCGGACATGATCTGTTCCGGGGTGCCATTCGCATCCTGAAAAGTCCGCAACATGCTTCTGTGCATGTGTGGAGCGCGCAGAATGCTTCTGTGCACGCACGAAGTGCGCAGAACGCTTCTGTGCGTGCATGCATGGCAAAACCCGTAAATATACACTTTCGGGTTTGCCGCGTTCGCAAGCCGAAAAGACGCAACATGAACCTAACGCAACACGAGGTACGACTGTATAGGAAGCGATCTTATACTGAGTTGGATCATTGGTCCATCTAGCTCAGCACTGTCTACACTGACTGGCAGCAACTCTCCAGGGTTTCAAGTAGGGAACAACTCCCAGTCCTACCTGGAGATGCCAGCAGGGATTGAACCTGGGACCTTAAGCATGCAAAGCAAATGCTCTACCTACTGAGCTACAGCCCTTCTCCTTAACCTTTGTATAGTCTATGCATAGGGGGAGGAAGTTTTGAACTGGGCTGCACATATAACTTGGGAAACAGAAAAAAATATGCAGGGACTTAGCATTATATCTGTAAGATCTACTATGTGGCCTGTGTTGAAGAAGCAGGGGTGGTCAAGAGAAGCTGTTATGCTTACATGGTCTAAATAGCCACTCTGCATTTGATCCTACAGACCAGGGTGCTCCTCATTCCCAGATGCAATATCTTTGGTCATGGCTCTTTTGTGGAGAGAGGGAGAATATTGGTATATTCCCAGAGGCATTCTCCTCTTTAAAGTAGGGCTCCGACACCCTGTTAAATGCCCCTTTGTCTCTATCCTACAACTGCCTTGAGTTCTTTGTGGTGGGGTGGCCTTTCAGAAGCCCCTTCCAATAAAAAAGGCCCCTGAACAGAGGGGTCCTGCCAGTCCCTTTGGTGCATCAGAAGAGGAAACAGCTCCCTGCCCTTCCCTTCTCTCCTCCCCAATAGAGGAGATTCAAAACTGCTGGGTCAGGGGGGCTGTCCTGGCGTGAGATAAACTGTCCCCAGGTCCGTTCCAGCCCGGCTGGAGTTGGGGATGCTATTAATTTGCTGCTAACCCGAGGCGGCAGCCCCTACTCCGGCTGGCTCCCAACTCGCTACCGTAAGCACTTTTCTCTTCCCCAGCTCAGTGACCTTGGGTTACCGCCATCCCTCTAAATCCCATCCGCGCCCCAAATGCTGACCTTCCTGGCTCAATTCAAAAGACACAGACACACAAACCCCAAGACGGGCTGCAGGAGGAGGAGGAGAAGGAGGGAAGCAACAGACAGGAGGAAAAAATAAGATGGGCTGGAGAGGAAGACAGCAGAGGCAGCGGAGCTGGGTGTGTAAAAATGAATGGCCTAATGACTGGTTTAAGAGGGACAACCTGAGATCTCCCACAATGAGGGGCTGGGGGCATGCAGCTTTGTTTGTTTGTTTGTTTGTTTGTTTGTTTGTTTGTTTGTTTGTTTACTTACTTAAGTTACTTATGAAGATTGAAGTTTTTTTTGTGACACAAAACAAACAAATAAGCAAGGAAATGTCTATATAGTGTCTCCTCTTTCAATTCATAGAGTCTTTTTCACAGTTTGTGTACATTTGGTATGAGACACTATTGGGGGATTGCACCTCCCACACAAGCTCCGCTCCACTGCAAAGTACCTCAATTTGTGAGGCTAATCTCTCTGATCCTATACTTTGCAGGATTTGTGCCCTCTGAAAGTATTTGCTATGGGTGTTGTTTGTACAGGTAAGTTGGACATTAAGGAAAGAGAAGATTGCAGAAGAAATCTGGAAGGCACGGAGAAGGCCAAGGTGAGGTCTACTTGGAAGTAAGCACCATAGAAAAAGACAGTGCCTCTGAACATATGCAGAGTACAATCTGTCTCCACAGTTTCACAATGAGGGATGATGCATGCAGGCTTTAGCCCTGGGGTCTCTTGCTACGAAATGAAGCTTTGCCAAGATCTTAATTTTAGCTCAGAACCTGATGTGGCATTATTTGTATTGACTTGGGGGTCATCCCACTTGTGCCATGCCTAGAAAGCGTAGGTCAGAGCAGATTTCTCCTTGCCCTGCTCCTTTCCAAGGGAAAACCTGCTCTTCAGCAAAACAAAATGGTAATCTGGGGAAAACCTGAATTGTCCGATTAAGCGCCAAAGAATGGTGTGTTTTTTAAGGAGGGAAGCAGAATTAGTGGGACAAGATGAAGTGAGGATAAGTCCTTATTGAGTAGCCTGGTTTGTAGCCTCTTACATCCCAATAATTCAGATTGGGAAGTGGGTGTGTCACAGCAGTGTGAAAGAGATCCTTCCATCTACCAAGCAGGAAAGGAGCAAGGAAGGCAGAACCTGGGCCTGTCAGTAAATTAATATTCATAGATTCAAAGATGGGTTTATTGGGGGAAGTCTGAGCAGCCTTGGAGCTATGGGGGGCGAGTTTAACTTTTTCTCTTCCTGTCATCATTGCTCGGACAAAAGAATTCCTCTCTGAAGTTGCTACTTGCTTTTCAAGACAAGCCTCTGCAGGTGACAGAGAGGGAGCTTCTTTTGAAACTCAAGTAGCAGCTTCAGAGAGGATTTGGGAGGGGCAAGGATGTTCTCCCCAGAGAGCTCCACCTTCTGCCAACATTAACATCATTTCTGCAACATACGAAGATGTACTTCTTCTCTTAGTCATTAAAGGGAATATGACAATCAAATATTTTACTTCTGTTTTTGTGTTCTATTTATTGGGTGGGGGGAGCGGTATTTGTTGCTGTTTATGTGTTCTACCTACCTGCCTGGGACATCCCTTTCAATGCCCCACAAGAGAGGGGAAGAGGACAAAGGGTTAGGGAGGAGGAGCAGGTGTCAACTTTCTGAGAGAACATAAATGGTCCATTGCCCTTTGACATATACAGTAGTAATTAATTCTCAAGTCATTAGTTTGGAATAAGGGTAGCATTCAGGACTTACTCTGAGCCAAGGTTCATGAACTATGTGACATAATGATCACGAAGGTGCCTCTGAGCATCCTCTCCCTCACTGAATAACTACAGTTCATCCATCCACATACATTTGGGGAATTTTCACAGGTAAGATCTTAAGGGGTTGGGGGTGTTTTTAAAAGGCAGCCCTGCTGTAAAAAGGGGAAGGAAAGGATTCATAGGTGCCTGTTGATTATCTGGCTAACCTCTAAAGATGTGCTCCCTGCCTCAAACCATGGAGAGCCATTGACAGCCAGTGAGGGCAATACTGGGCTGAATGGACCAGTGGCCTGGCTCTTGGTATACAGGACAGCTTCCTATGATCCAAGCACAGGCCAAATGTCCCTCTCTCTCTTTCTCTCTTCCTGACACGGATGCCTGGCAGCTCCAAACACGTTTCCTGCTCTGAGCTTCATGCTTTTACTGTAAGAATATGTTTTTGTCTCTGCAGAGCAATGCAAACTGTCTCTGGCCCAGGCACGAGTCTTGTACCTCAAGGCGGACGTGTGGAGCAGAACATTTTAAATGGAACAAATTTGCTGTTTCTCTCTCCCTCTCCTCAGTGCCTGCAGCAGTGAATGAGCAAAATATTCAGCCCAGCCATCAATTCCGCCCTCTTCTTCCCTGCTTTCCTCCAACCAGCCCTGCGAGCAAGAAAGCCGCTCCACCAGAGCAAGAAGCACTGTCCTCAAGTTGGCTGGGGGGTTCACAAGACGGCCTCCCCACACCTACTGGCAGGTCTGTGCAGCAGAGCCCTGTCCAATACAGGCTCTCTGGGGCCTGAACTGACCTGCAACTCCCGGCAGCCCCACCACCCACCCAGTGCACAGGCAAGCCCAGCTAGGGTGGTGGGCACTCAGGCTCTGCTGGCAGCCCCAGGCAAAGGGCTGCCTGCCTCCAGGTTCCCCCTTTGCCTCTGGGCATCGCTTTGGAGGAAAAGGCCTTCCCTTAATTATTCATTGCAACATTATGAGATCATCCTTATTCAACTATTCCAGTGCAATTTACAAAATAACAACAATAATGCAATATTATTAAGCAAGAAACACACTTAGACAAGACTACAGTACCAGTAAGAACAGCAATAGGAAAAGTCACAAGGGCTTTTCAAAACCACCATTTAAAAATGCTGAGAGATATTCAAAAGGCCTGGGGGAAAGCTTGATTTCTAAAGGGACAGCAGAGCAGGCATGGGGTGAGCTTTGCTTGGTGCCAAGGAAAGCATAGATAGAGGTCCTCTAATCAAGTCAAGAAACTCCAAGAGGAAAAGGAGATGCAGGGAACTTCTGCCCTCCAGGTACAACCAAGTCAAGTGGATCTTGAAACCAGACCACCTAATGATGCTAGTAGCCACACACACACCACCATTAAGTTAAAACAAAAAACACACACCCTGCAGTTAAAGAAATCCATACGGTTGACATGACCCCAGAGCCTAGCAGTGACCAGGCAAGAGTCCAGAAAGCTACATGTCTGCCACTGAAGGAGCCAGACCGAGCTCCTGACTCTGAGCCAGATGCAGTTTGTTGGGCAGGTGCCCACCAAGCCCTGAGGCTAGTAGGTAAGCAGGAAAGATGCCAGAGTGGTAGGGTTTGGAGAACTAGAGCCGGGACCACCGTCGTGGGTGCCTTCTTCCTCTGAGACTCAGAAGGGAAGCCTGCCAAACTACACGGGATGGAGCTGTCATTTTCACTGAACTCAATAGAACCTACTTTTGGATAAAGCATGCACAACTGAAGTCAGATAGTTTGGCTTGTGCCCACACGACTGACCCCCTAATGTCAAGCAGGATGATTTAGGGTGTCATGAAAGGGCAGCAAATTGCTAATTTTATGTATATTTATTGCTGGAGGGGAAGATTGTGGGATTTTCTGCCTCAGGTACCAAAATGTCCTTGCCTGATGGCAGGGGGAAGGGGCCATTTATTGTTCTTACCTCAGGCAGCAAAATATCTTGGGATGGCCCTGATTACCCGTTGGATTGTTTGACCTTAAAACAATGCCCACAGAAGACACCCCCTGGTGTGAAATGTCCCCACAATATTTCTTCCATGTTTCTCTCACCATTTTCCATAACCCCATCAGGCTATCTGCTCCACAACTGAGATTAGCCAGAGAGCCTGATGGTATGACAAAACATCCATGAAAGTGTTGGGTGCTCACACCCCACCTTTGGGTGCATAGAGCAGTTTCTGCCTTATGCAGACCATGGGGTAGAAGTGTGTTGAATCCTCTGCGGATCCCCTCCAAAACAACTGTGACAGCCACTCCTGAATCCATTTTGAAATTGACAGTTGCCTCACATATAGCTGCTCTCTGGGGAAGGTCAGAGACTTTTACAGAACATGAAGTCTAAGGGAAAAAACTGGCTGAATTGGCTATCTAATGCTGGGGTCACTTTTTGCACCTTCAGGGCATGACATGCAACAGCAAAATGCCCTGGGTATTTTTTTGTTTTTTCCTTCTTTTAAATAGTCCTTGCATTGGGTCCC